CAGATTTGCCAACACCTTGGCATCAGGCTCTGTGCCCTTGCTGTGAGACTCCCAGCCATCACCCATGCGGTGCCACTGCTGCTCAGTGGAGAGTGAGGTCATCACCGAGATGGAGGCCAGGAGGCCTAGCTTCCAATGGAGGAGCCCTCCCTTGAGAACCATACTGGGCCTTTGTTCCCCAGGGGCTGTCAGACCAGTGGTCTCTGAGACCTGGTCCCTACTCAGCTGGCCAGGTCTGGTCTGCTCCACTGCAGCAGTGGGGCTCACAGACCCAGCATGGGCATAACACCTGACCAACTCTCTTGCCCGTCCATGCCTGACTCTAGCCACCTGCCAGCCCCTCCCACCCATCTCCCAGGTGGACATTCCAAGCTTTGCGATTGGCTTTCCATCTGGTCCCAAACAGTTGGGGAGAGAACTCTGTCTCCCAAGGCAACAGAATTCTAGCATTTAACATTTCCATCTGCAGAAGGAGGAATTTTCCCTCCTGCACAAAGCCTTTCAGGCCTCATGGTGACTCCATCCTTGACCAGTTGGGACCTTAAATGTTGGTCCATGAGAGAGGAGCCTTGGGACTATCTCCAGTGACCACTGAAAACAAGTTTCCTATACCTTCACCGAATGCTGGTGAGAGCGTCTAGCACAGCTGAATCACCCTGCCGCTGGGTATGACAGCCAGGCTGCCTGGTTCAATCCACCCTTCCCTCTTCACTAGTCCTCGGTGTCCTCATCTGTGGAATGGGCCAATCGTAGGGCGTAGTTCCCAGGGTCATTGTGGGAGCCCTGATGATGCTCTGTGCAAAGTCCCAGCTGATAGTGACACGTAGCCAGGAGACACTGCATTGGGCTCTTTGTACAGAGCTCTGAGGGCTCTGCACATGTTCAGAGGTATGTGTAAAAACACTGCTGGGTGGGTCAGTGCTGGTCCTGCCTGTGACTCACTGTGTAGCTCTGGGTTTTCATAATCTCTCTGGGCCCATATACCAGGAACTGAGGGCCATAATGGGGCCTCATTCTCTCAGGGACATTTTCAGCTCTCAAGTTGCCACCCTGAGTTCATCAGCTCCAGATGCAGGTAGACCTGGGTATCCTGACATCTTCTTTTTCTCATTTTTGCAGGAGTCTGGGGAGACTGAGGCCTGGGGGAGAGGGAGGGCATTGGGAGCAATGTGAATGCCCCTGTGCTGTTGGGCAGTGACTCAATCAGCCATCTCCACCCTCTGCTCTGCAGATGCTGGCACCTCACATGCGCATGGCCACGTCATGAGCTTTTCACATATGCTGAGGCTGCCGTGGGTCTGTGCCCAACACCCACAGAGCTCCAGAAAATGCTGAGCAGGAGGAAGGGCTGTGTGGAGAAGCGGGAGGGCTGGAGGAAAGCAGCTGGAACTTTGGCGAGTACGTCAGGAGCTGGGACAGGCCATGCACACAGAAGCTGAGGCTGTTTCCCCTACCCCCACCTGCCAGGCTGGGTTTGAGGAGCTGGACCCCAGCTCAGCACCTGGACCCTGCCCCTGCAAGACAAGGTAAAGCCCTGTGCAGGGGTGATACAAAAGGGCAGCAGGTTAAGGGAGAGTGTCTTGTAGTTTGCAAGGCCTCACCCCTTGGGCACCCAAGAACCTCTTCCAGTGGGACTTCCCAGCCAGCAATGGTGATGTGCCTGGTGGAGGAGTTGAGTGTGGGCTTTGGAGTTGGTCAGATCCAGACTCTGAAAAGTCACCACCCTCTGGTCCCTAGGTTTCTGTGTCTGTGGAGCCCCTTACTCAGGGTCAATATAAAGGGTAAGGGAGACAGTGCTTGCTCGTGTAGCACCTGACACATAGTGGGGGCTTTATCACCATCATCACAAACCCAGGCTAAGCCCAGGGCTGAGAGGAATAATACCACCTCCCTGTGGCCTCCGCAGAACCATTCCCTGGAAGCTTCCAGGGGCTGCTCTGCTTCGCAGGGCAGCTTAGGGCCATGGACTCTATCCAGGTCATGAAAGGGACATAGGGCTCAGCATGTGTTCATGGAGCACCCTCAAACTTGTCTGCTTGTTACCGGGATAGTGTTCTGCCCTCATCAACCACCCAGCCAGTGGGTCTGCTCAGTTCCAGGCTCTTGGGGTGATGGAAGCTGGGAGATGAAATAGACACCCCCAAAACAAATGTCTTTCTATATGCAGGGTGGCCATAAAATCCATGTGTGATTTTAAATTGCACACAAACTTTATGGCTACCCTGTATAAACTGAGCAGTATAATTACCTGATGGCACAGGAGGTGTTGAAGGCCATTATGAGCTACAGCAGGACAGACAGAATATTTCACAGAGGCCAAGAGTTCACGGTGGGAGCAGCTGCTGTGGTTAGGAGGCCAGCGGAAGTTTCTTCCTGGAAATAAAACTTTATCCAAGGCTGCTACAGAACCTGTGCGGTTCCTGGGTTCTGCTGAGTGGTAACGAACTGGCCAAAAGGGCCACCCCTGGGGCATTGGCTCAATTGCCTTGCCTTGGTTTGAGACAGCTAGAATAGAAAAGGATGAAGAAAAGGATCCTCACTAGACCCAGGGATACAGGCCTCAGGTAGCGATCAAGGTGAAGGTGTGGCTAAGTGAGAGGCAGTGGCCACCCTAAACAGCTGCTTCCTGCTCTATGACTATGCTATGTTGGGGTGGGTGGTCACTTGGCCGGCTGTGCATTCCTCAAAGAAGACACTCCAAGGCTGCTGGCCCCTTGGCCACTCCAGCCCTTGCCCTCAGACATTCAGCACTCTCTGGCTTTGGAACTAGCTGGAGCCACCTGCCCTGCACCCATGGTGGGTACCTTTGGAAGTCAGAGTGATTCGGCCGGAGGAGAGTGGTTTTAATGTGCCTGCCTGGTTTCCTGATCAAAAACTGGTCTCTCTCTGGGGAGTAGTTGCAAGGTTAGGGGGTGAGGTTCTTAGCTTTCCCACAGCTGTCCAGCCTCAAACTCCTTTTGAACCTCTGCATTTGGAGCTCTTGGGTCCCAGCCTCAGTGGGGACACCCGCCCAGGTGGGGCCTTGGGCAAGTCTCCAAGCCTCTCAGCTTTGGACACATCCATTCTTATAGGCCTCCCTGCACAGGCTGGCTGATGGGAGAATGAACTGATAATGCTTGGATAATGATGATCACACAGTTGGGGACCAACAGGTGGACCACCAGTCAGGGTTCCAGCAGAGCAGCAGGGACTCACCACTTCCCAAACTCCTCACCCCTCATCCTCAACCTTCCCAGCCCTGGAGCCTGCCACAGTCCCTGCACTGTCTCCACCCAGCCGCAGTCTCCCTGGGGCTGGAGCACCAGGCTGGTGTAGCACTCCCCTGCGAACTCTTGAGTTCCTGAAAGCCTCTGGACTGTAGAGCTCAAAGGGCACGGGAGCAGCCCACCTAAACCCGAGACGGAAGCGGAACTACACTACCCAGAATTCCTGGGGCTAGCCAAAAAGGAAATGTCGTTTTTGCAAGGAGAGGTTCAGCTCCCCAGCAGCTGCAGAGAAGGAGAGGGAGAGGGGGAGAGGAGCGAGGGATTACCAGGGGGAGGGCGGGCTGAGTGCGGGGAGCGAGGGAGGAGAACCGGGCGGGCGGGAGAGGCGGCGGCGTCGGCTGCCGCCTGCGGACCTGCATCTCCGCGGGGCCCGCGAGCGGGCAGCGGTCCCTGCGTGCGCCGGCTGCGAGCGGGTGCGGGGGCCAGGCGGGCGCCGGAGCCGAGTTTCTGCAAAGTTTGACCTGGTTGCCTTTCCGATGCCGCAGCAGAGCGAGGCAGCGCGCGGCGCGCCAGGCGGCTGCGGCGCGGCGGCGGAGCTGAGCGGCGACAGCTCGCTCACAATGATCATAAAATAAGGAGGTGCGGGGTGGGGGCGAGAGAGCCCCGAGCCTCAGCTCTCCGCCCCCCCTACCACCCCCGCCCCTAGCAGCCCAGAGCCAGGAGAAGGTGGAGGGCCGGGGGTGCCCACACCGGCCCCAGATCCCAGTGGAACCAGGGGACACTGCCCCGGGAAGGGGGTGGGGGCGTCCTGAGAACGTGCCCACAGTGGGGTCAGGGGCACCCTGAGGGCGACGGCCCGGGCACGCGGAGCGGCCCGAGGGGCAGGTGAGTCTTCGGCGCCGCCCGAGTGAGGGCGTGCGCGGCAAAGTTCCCCGGCAGCAGCCAGTGCGCCGGACACGCGGGGATCTGGGGCCGTTTGCGGCTGGCGAGTGGGGACAGAGGTGCCCGACGCGGCGGGGCGGAGACACTACGCCCTTCGTAGTTCGGGGACCCTGGCCCGGGAAGAGCGCGCGCCCGATCAGACCAGCCTGGGGGTGGCACTGCGCCCCCAAGGGGCCGAAGGGTCGGGGACTGGGGAGGAAGGGGCGCCTAGTGCTGGCGGAGAGGCGGTGGGGGCAGTGTCAGGGCAAGTCCTCGCCGCCCACTGCAGTGGCAGCCGGCTGTCCCCCCGGCCTGGGGCAGGAGGGTGTCAGCGGAGATGTCACGGGCGGCGATTATTCGCTGGTGCGCGCGGTCCTGCGGCCGCCACTGACGGGGCGGGCGGGGGGGGGGCGCCGCCTCCGGGGAGACCGCCCAGAGCTGCGCCGTCAGCTCCGCAGCTCGCGCCGCGAGCACACGCGTCGCCGCCCCCGCGCGCCCCCCGCAGCAAAGTTCGGCTCAACTTTGAGGCGGGCCTGACGACCTTCCCTTCCACCTCCCACCAGGTCCTCGGTCGGCGCGGCGAGTCAGGCGGCAGTGGCAGAGTGCAGCCCCGGGGCCCCGCACGGCGGCCGGCGGCGACAGCGACAGCCGCGAGGGGGACGCGGCGCGCCCGTGTGGGGGCGTCCGGCCCGCACCCGCGAGTAGGCGCCGCCGAGGACCCGCGCCGCGCCGCTCCGGCGCCCGGAGAGCGGCCGGAGCCCGGAGCGCGCCTGCTGGAAGCCGCGGATGGGCGCTCGCCCCCGAGGGCGCAGGACCCCGCCGACTGAACAGAAGCCTTTCAGTTGACTCTGGGAGCGTGTGCCGGGAGGGAGCGCGTGCGGAAGGCCGGAGGGCAGGAAGTCGGGCTTCTGCAGCGAGGGTGGCGCGACCGCGCCGGGACCGAACCTTCCTTATTTATGTGTCAGCCAGCGCTCGCCTTCTTCCTCCGAACACTTCAGGGAGAGCTCCGAGCTGCCAACCCCGCGTGTGAGGCACAGAAGCTCCGGCTGTCAGAACAACATGATTATGCATTAAACTACAAACTTTTCTTTTTTTAACTCAAAGAATATCGGTGATTTTTGTCCACTGCTAGAAGAGAGAGCCCAGGGCTCTGGAAATGCAGCAAAATCCTTATTTATAAACAGGCCGCGGTAGTGATATGCAACCCCCCTCTACTCTGTGAGTTTTCTATCCTATGGATATTGGTCTTGAGATTTGAGATTGGAGAGCAGGCTGTCTGCGTTGGGTCTGCAGCCTCCACCCTTTCAATGCTCGGTTTCCACTGGGACTGCTGGCCTTGCCTGGAGATCAGAGCGGTCCTGTGTGCCATGGGCTGTATTCAGAGCATTGGCGGCAAAGCCAGAGTCTTCCGGGAAGGGATCACAGTGGTAGATGTGAAAGCCTCTATCGACCCCATCCCCACCAGCATCGACGAGTCCTCCAGCGTGGTGCTCCGCTACCGGACACCCCACTTCCGGGCCTCGGCTCAGGTGGTCATGCCACCCATCCCCAAGAAGGAGACGTGGATTGTTGGCTGGATTCAGGCGTGCAGCCACATGGAGTTTTACAACCAATACGGCGAGCAGGGGATGTGAGTACGCGCCAGAGTCAGGCCGGGGACAGTTGAGGCGGGCTGAGCTGGGAGGCCTGGGGAGGGCATAGATACCATGAAGACAGGGGCCAGAGGGCAGCTTGAGGCAGGTATGGAAGTGGCTTGTGAGTCCTTCTTGGACGAGTACTCCCTGGAGAGTTTGCCTTTTGATCCAGATTGGGGTCATAGCTCTAGGACCTACCCTGCCATTGTCCCTGGCCGCTGGGTTGCCTGAGTCCGTCCTTGCAAGATGCTGAGAAAGCAGAGAAGCATTTGTCCCATGTCTTTTTGGCATCTGCCCTAAGAGCGTCTGGGAAGGAGTCCCCAGAGAGGCTGCAGCTCTGCTCCCCAGGCTCAGGCCCCAGGAAGGCACATGGCAGACACTCAGGGCCCTCAGAAGCTCCTGGAGTTCTTTGAGTTCTTGGTGCAGGGCTTTGTAATTGGGTCTCAGTTGTCACTCTGGCATTGTCAAATGCACATGGTGGCCTAGGGGATGCTTCGCTGTGGCTGTGTCCGAGAGCTCAGTTAGTTTTCGCAACCTGTTTGCTTGTGCTGTGGAGCTTTCTGTCTCTGAGGCAGAAGGCCACTATCAGACATCAGTGCCTAGTGTCCCTCTGGTGGGGCCCTAACAGCTAAGAGGAGCCCACTAGCCTCTTCTCTGCAGCCTGGTCTCTGGAATGTTCCTAGGATGCTATAGGTCTCAGTGAGGACACTGGGGCCCTCAGTCATGTTCCCTGACCCTGAGGAGGCCATTCCAAAGTAGAAAGAGCAACAATAGACAGAGGGGAAAGTGCCTTAGCTTAAAGAGTCACCCTATACAGGGGTCGGTGAAAATAGCTGTTTTGGAGCCAGCACGAAGCCTCCGCTGAGAGAGCAAGGCTGCTGGAGCGGGCGCCTCTCAGTTTGACCCATGACTGGCTGTGTGCACTCACACCACCTCTCCCTCCATGCCCACCCTGTGCAGCATCAGTGCCCGGCTTTACAAGTGAGGTAGAGAGAGGAGATGTCTCTTCCTCCAGGAGCTGGAGCTTGTCTCTGACTTTAGAACTTTGTGGGCCACCTGTAAACAAGGTGGGTGGAGGATGTCTGGCCACTAAGTCTTGAGGCGTCTCCATTTTGTGACTCTGAAGTAGTAAGGGAAACAGGAGGATCAGGGTAAAACTTAAAACCAGTGTGTAACCAAGCCTGCCCAAAAGGGTGCACGTGGCCACAGCTAAAGGTGCCCATCGGTCCCTGCGACAACCTGATTCCTGGGCCGAGCCTATCACTTCTTTTTTTTTTTTGAGACAGAGCCTCAGGCTGTCCCCCTGGGTAGAGTGCCGTGGCATTACAGCTCACAGCAACCTCCAACTCCTGGGCTCAAGCGAGTCTCCTGCCTCCGCCTCCCAAGTAGCTGGGACCACAGGCGCCCGCCACAACGCCCAGCCATTTTTTGGTTGCAGCCGTCATTGTTGTTTGGCGAGTCCAGGCTGGGGATTCGAACCCCCTATCACTTCTTAAGAGCAGCTATTAATGCCGGTCAGGCAGGGGCTGAAGAAGAGAAACATGATTCTTATTCAGTGAGGACCTTTTCTGAGAAGTCTTAAGGTCAGAAACTTCTTTGGGCTTTGCAAGTCATCTAGGGCAGTTGTCAAGAAATAAAGGGTTTTTTTAGGGGGTTTAGGCTGTTTCACTTCTTCCTTAGAAGGGGTAGGGAAGTCAGAGTTCTTATGAACTTGGGATTCTAATGAGATCCGTGTGGTGTGTGGTGGGGGCAGGAACAGGCCTGGCTGGGGTACAGCTCCCATTCTACCCTGCCCGGAGCTTCAGCTTCCCCATCTCCCACCTGTGCACCAGGCTGTCTGGGCGTCTTTGGGTCCCACAGTCTTTGTTCTTCATATCGTGACTCTGAGTATGTTGGGGTGCCGTTGCAGAAGCCTGAGAGTCAGGGACCTGAGATGACCTTGTCCCGACCATGCCAGTCCTCAGTTCCTGGTTAGAAAAGCCTCATGCATACTTAGACTCTGCAGTCAGGCAGACCCGGGCGGGAGGCCAGGCTCTGCCACTTTCCAGGGTGCCGCCCTAGGCAAGTCCCTTACCACTCAGAGCCTCGGTTTACTTATCTTCAAACTGGGATTAAGAATAGCCCCTTCCCCATGGCTCACTGGGAGAATTACTCAGACATTTGCCAAGCTGTGCTGAGCACATGGTGAGTGCTAAACACGTGTCATTGTCTTTTACGTTGTCATTACTGTGGTTGTTACTCTATCAAGAGTGGCTGAAACTACAGAGTTGGGACCGATGTCTACTCCTTGCCCTCAATTTTCTCCCCAGCCCTGGCCTGCCTCTCTCATGTAGTGTCCACTCTCTAACTTAAATTTAAAAATTTAAAAATTTTAAAATGGAATCAATCATGAGTCTTAGAGTGGCTCAAGGCCCTTACTGTTGCTCTCACTTTGCCTGACATTTCCCTTTTCTCCCTCCCTGTCTCTGGATATCCCTTTGGCGCTGGTCCCCCTGGGTTCCACCCAGCTCATTCTCCTTGGGTCCCCTGGGTGCCTGCTTCCAGTTGGGATAGGACCAGTCCCAGGGACAGGATGGAGTCTGAGGCTTTCTGGGAGGGGTGCTCGAACAGTCAGGCAGAGTGACCAACTGGTACTGGCTCTGGGGCCTTGGCAGGGTCCCCTCAGAGTTTCTGTTTTGACATCCATAAATGAGTGTAAGACAAGAACTCCCACAGGCTGCTGTGAGAGGACAGGTTGTAGGTGACCATCCTGTGACCAGAACACAGAGACTGTTATTACTATTCAGCAGAATTGACCTAAGGAACTGAGTTGCTGAGCAGAGCTCTGGGTTCAGCCCATACCCTCTGGAAATGAGAAGGCTGAGATGTGGGCTCCTTCTCAAGTGCAAATAGAAACATTCAGGTGGGATTTGAAAGGCCCTTCTTATCTTCCCTACCCCTGGGGTCCTGCGATCAGTACTGTTCTCTGGGTTTTTAAGCCCTGTGCCATGAAAGAAAGTGGAGTAATGATTCAGTGAGATTGAGCAAAAGCCTCAACCAGCCTAGAATTGTCTTTCTGCTCTGCCTGGACTAGGATGGGAGAATTCTTCATGCTGAGCACTGGGGGTGGCTGTGCCCACTTAATGCCAGGAGCACCAAGTTGTGTTGCAGTTGCCATTGTTTTTTAGCTGGCCCAGGCGGGGTTTGAACTCATCACCCTCAGTGTATGTTAACTTTGGTACCTTAACCACTGTGCTATGGAAGCTGAGCTCCTTTCCCCAAGTTGTAACAGTCAAAAATGTCTCCCAACAGGGCCCAATGTCCCCTCAGAAGGGGATGAAGTCACCCTGGGAGGGACGTGAGAAGTACTGGACTCAACCCAGACTTTTTTTTTTTTTTTTTAGGCAGAGTCTCACTATGTCCCCCTGGGTAGAATATTGTGGCGTTACAGCTCACAGCATCCTCAAACTCTTGGGCTTAAGCAGTTCTCTTGCCTCAGCCTCCCAAGTAGCTGGGACTACAGGCGCCCGCCACAACATCTGGCTATTTTTTGGTTGCAGTTGTCATTGTTTGGCAAGCTGAGGCTGGATTCAAACCCACCAGCTCTGGTGGTCTGATATTCAACCCAGACTATTTGAATCATTAAAATGAAACCCAGACACTGGGCTTTAGTACCCTGAGGAGGAGACAGCCAGGTGGCAAGGATGAGGTAGGGCTTCCATTCTTTACAAATGGGCTCGTATTCAAAATATTAATTTCAAATGCTTAACCAAAATCCATAATACCCCTAGACATTATCCCTGCTTGAAATTAATCTCTAAGCCAGGAGGAGAACTTTTTAGAATGACATTCTGGGTTTGAAATATTTGAAATGGAACAATAAAAAAAAAAACCCCACCACTTCAATAATACTCTGACTTTTTACAGACAAGAGCTGGAAAGGGTGTGTTTCTCCGTGCCAGCTTGAGAGGATTCTATATAGTTTTGGGTCCAACCCACATCGCTTTAAAAGCCAACCCCCCCCTCCAAATTGTTGGAGACACCTGCCTCCACAGCCCGTCCCCCGCAATTCCTCAACTGCCACCTGTCAGCTGGCAAGAGTCTTCTAAGTGACAAGTCACAGTTTCTCGCCTGTGTGGGAGACATTCCACGTTGTCCCTGCTTTGCCCTTCTTGGGCCCCCTGAGAACCTTACCCACTGCCAAGGCCAAGGGCAGTTTATGGCTCAGGATTCTGGTAGATTTGGGGATGAGGACAAGTCTCTCTGGGTTGACAGTGCCACCACAGTGTGCCCACGTCTAGCAGGATGTGGGTCCCAGCCCCACACCCTTGGGCCAATCTCTGAACCTTCCTACCCTCGCCATTCTCATTTGGGAAATGGGAACACTAGCATCTCCCTCAGGGGCTAGTTCTGATGAGCGTAGCCCAGTGCCTGGTATATGACTAGGCGCTCAGTGTGTGGTGGCTCTCAGTGCCGTCATTATGAATTACTAATGATTTATTATTCATTATGCAGTAGCCGTCAGAGTCTATGTAAAGATTGCTGTGTTATTGTTACTGTTGTCACCTTATCCCTCCTCCTGGATTTCAAAGACTGTCTGTAGTGTGAGAGCCTTGGGCATGAGACCTCTGAGGGTCTTTCTGGCCAAAATGTGTGCTGACAGCCGCTGCCCCAGTGTCGTAAGAGGTGGGTGGGAGAGGGTGGCAGGGCCATGGTGGGGGCTGCCCAGGACCATTGGAATGATGCTGACAACAGCTGCTCTGTGGCCCCTTTTCCAGCCGCTGACTCCGAGCGTCCCCGGGAGCTCAGGAGGTCCTCAGACACAGCCTCTGAGGCCTGAAGCTGCTTGCCTGAGGAGGCTTGCTCAGCGCCAGCTGATCTGGGAACAGGCCATGGAGGAATGTCCCTGGTGGCCACGTGGCCTCTTCCTGAAGCTGGGGCCTGCTTCAGGCTCCACACAGAACAATTGAGGACGAGGCTTCCTCTCTGTGACCGGAAGGTGGCCTCCCCCATCTGT